TAATGCTGGGCAGAAATTTAGAAAATAATAACTTTTTTTCTTCAAGAAGTGTCGTGATGTAGCATGTTGTGATGTCATGTCCTGGACTGTGTTGGGATTAAGAAGCCATGGCGCTAAATCATCCTCAGGGAGGGTGGTTCCCCAGTCTGGCAGCAAACGTTTCCCTCCTCGAACCACCATTGAAGAAGTCGAGGCAACTTCATTGCTGTCCACCAACAGCGCCAAATTCAAATTTCTCTACCTGCATGGGGTTAGATATTGCAGACAGAACATCTATTAAACTTCTTTGAGTCCATAGCTACCCTCAGCCTCATCCGTTTCTTAGCCAAACTCTTCATTTACAAAGGGTAGTGGCTATAAGAAAAAAAGTGTGGGTAACTCTGGGTCAGTGTGGCTATTTTTGCAATACGCTTCCTGTACTTGCAGGATCTCAGTGCATCGTGTCTCCATCATCTCCTGCATCTCCACCCTGTGTTTCATGGGCGCCTGATGCCAGATTAATGGTGATGTAAACATACAGACCTCAGTTTACTAGAGAACAAATTCACCTTTTTATTTTCTTTGACTTGGGGGCTGCCTTTTGCAATGAGAAAAAACAGGTAATTTAAGGGTAGAGGAAATCTTAATCGCTCTCCTCCCAAAATAGCACTAATATCTTTTAGCCTAAAGAGCTTGGATAAATCAAGTAGGAGTTTTTTTATTGCCGTCGTAATTTAATTTAATTTTCCCTCATGAGGTAAAAAGTGTGAAATTTTTGTTACAGTCTTGTTTTATCCCTGTCTGGTGCTATTTATGTATTTTTCATGAAGATCTCTGTAGGTAGCAAGTTTGTTCTCGGTATGAACATCCGCTGCTCTTAGGACACTGCCTGGAGGGTGGACTCTGCTGAAACATTTATGGGATCCCATAAACACAACAGGATCCCATAAATCTGAAAAGAAGGGAGGAAAAACAATCCTTTTGAAAAACAGCAGGTAACTACCTTGGTTTTTTACCACACAAGTATGGCACACTTTATTTTTTCTCCCTAAGAAGTCTGAATTATTTCCTTAGGAGTGCTGTTGTGGTGGGAAAATGGCTCACATGCTTAATGCTACTTAGGGATAAGAAGAAAAAAATTGAAAGCCCCAAAAGATGGATCCTTGGCTCGTAGGAAGCTGGAAGCTGACAGTGAGATTTCTGGAAGCCATAAAGCTTTTCTGTTTGTTTTTATTTGTAGCCGTCACGCTGTCGCTGCTATCGGTTACCAGCCGCATCTCAGCTGTGCCTGGCACCACAGTGAGAGCCAGAGCTGGACCTGTGACCACTGGTTTTATTTCTGGAGTTGCCTCTGTCTGTGAGGAAGCCCAGCAGCCCACACCTTTTGCAGGGAAGGGAGGTGCACGTGCCGGTAGTGTGGGATGTATACAGTAATTTTTTACTAAAATGCAGCCCGAGGCCTCCTAAGGATCCACTAGCCCAGGGTGAGAAGTTTAGGTGTCCCTCGTGGGTGGGGAACAGAGAATCTCTGCAGGTGCATGTCATGGAGCAAACCACATCTATTTTTGGCCTCTGTGTATCCAACATCGGTGCAGCAGATGCAGCAGGGATTTACTAAAAATAAAAAGGTATTCACAGGAGAGGGTGAAAAGGCAGCTGTTTCCATAAGCAGATGACAATGTTGAGGTACTCAAGCGAAAGCACAGCTAGAGAGAGCCCTATCAGGTCAAGTGAACAGAGACTTAACCCAGATTTGGTGGTTTACTGTTGGACAAGATCTAGGTCAGGAGGACCTACCAAGGAACAGCAGCAGCAGCTTTCCCCATTTTCCAAAGCACTCTGCTTTCCTCTTCCTTTCCTTGGCAATTGTTACGGATTTCATTCAGCTTTTGCAGGCTTCAAAACGTGGAACAATAGTGGGACAGTGAAGCTCAGGAAGCTGGAGAGCAGGAATAACAGCTGACGTTGTGTCCTTTCCCAGCCGTGCTGCCAGACATCCCTTCTCCTTCCCTCCTTCTCCAGGAAGTCTGACCTCTCTGTTCTGTTTTTTTTTTTTTTTTTTTTTTTTTTTTCTAGGCTGTTGGTCTGCTTTTCCATCGCCCTGCACCCAAGGGAAATGCAGGGCTGTGGGCAACAGCCTGGTGCAATGCCCAGTGGTGTAAAACGTCTTCCCTTGTTGACTGTAAGAAGAGCCTTGGGCACAAAACGGCACTAACGTCTGCCCTGAGAAGATCCCTTTCCCCTCTCCTTTCGTCTCTCACCATACCCTTGGTGTGTTTATGGGGCTCTGGAGCTCTGCAGGCACATGAACACCCCTATTATGATGGACCTGATTGCATGCCAAGGAGAAGATGGAAGGAACCAACACAGCACCCAAGTGTTACATGTGGTGTTTGTTGCAGGGAAAGGACAGCAGGGACATGCTTTTAAGACACGTCCCCTTCACTGCATGAGCAATGGATGCAGGGGAAGCCCAGGAAAGGCTTTCGGAGGCAGATAGTCCATGGACTAGGACACAGATGACTGGCAGGAGTTCTGAAGGACTCTCTGCCCATTCAGCATACAACAAAAAGAGGCAGAAAGGACTTTTGGGGACTTTCTGGAGGGAAGTCAAGGGTTTTTAGCAATGCTGACAAACACCAAACGTATCTGCTTTTCCTTTTGGTGCTTCAGTTCCCACTGCTGGTGTTGCCTTAGCAAGCTCATTTCAAAGCATGTCCAGAGGGCTCGAAAGATAGGGAGAGCTCGGGATTGAGATGGTGCCAACTCCCCATCAGCACATGGGATGGGGCTGGGTGGTATAACCTGTTGCTTAGGGACATCTGTACGTCAAACCCATCTGAGCTTTATTGGTGAGGCCAGCTAAAACGCTTCCTGGTTGCCCCCGGGCAGCTGGGTCATGGCCCAGCATATTTATCTTGTCTTCTCTGCTCTGCAGCAGTGAGCAAAGTCCAATTTGGATTTTGGGGAAAAAAAGAAATTACACTTTGGAACATGTTCTCACCTGCACTGAGCTAAGAGCAGGGGGGGTGAGGGCACAGAGCCCTCCATCGCTCCTCACGTGTCCCCAGTTTGCATTGGGGTCCATTGCAAAGCAAAAAGAATTTTTCTCTTAGCAGCCCATGTCTCCATCACACCCGAAGGCTGCAGATTTAGGGCTTTTTCTTTCTCTTGGCAAATACTAGTGTAATTAAAATAAAATGCAGTCAAGTGGTCTTATCTCGCTTTCCACCAGGGATGACGAACCAGGGTGATTAACGGGGACAGCAATGGGTGCAGAGAGCTCAGCCATCACAGATTAATGTTGGGCTTTCTCAGGGAGGGGGAAAGCACCACATGTGGGGATGGAAGCAGCTACAGCAATTTCAGATTTCCTTAATGCTTACTCAATGCTTGTCATGCCGTGGGGCAGTTTTCCTTTCCTTCTGGGCTGTGATGATGAGACAGGAGGATGCAGAAGGAGAAGGATGCATTCTCCGCAGCTGGGGGATGTGTGATTAATAGGTTTCAAGCTACATGCCCCTGCACACTTCATTAAACCTCGGCTCCATCCTTCCTCCCATCATGTTGACATCAGTCCTTTAATGGTGGATACTTGGAGGTGTTTGTGTGTGGGACCTACAACCCTGGCTTCAGCATCACGGTGCTGGAAGCTGGGTGTGCTGGCTCGTTGTATTTTTTGCGATGATGGAACACACAGGCCCAAGGGGACGGCAGAAAGACGCGGTAGCACTGGAATGGGAAAGACTGGGGAAGGGAGGGTCGAAGTCCAGAGCCTGTGGCAAGGCTGGCACCTCCGAGCTGGGCAGGACAGGACACAGGAGGCAAAACTCATCTCTGTTTGCAGGAAGGGTTGGTGGCTCTGTGCTCCTCGCACCCCAAATTTCTGGTGTAAAGCGAATAAAAGGTGCCCACAAGGGTGATTGTGCCAATCCCAGGACAGGGCCGGCATGGAACGGGGTGATGTGCAGATGGGTGCTGGCTGGAAATATTGGGGAGGGGAGGCATATTTTGGGAAGGGAGGAACAAAAGAGGGACCATGTGAGATAGCGGAGGTGCTGGTGACTCACCCAACAGGGGTGCCCGGGTGGGGCCGCCGTGGTTTTGGGGCACGGAGGTGCGGGGAAGGGTAATTAGGAAGGGATTTACACGGGGAGATGAAATTTACATGGGGAGGTGAAATTTACATGGGGAAGTGAAATTTACATGGGGAAGTGAAATTTACATGGGGAGGGGGTGAATAGCGGGGACGGGGCATATCCACGGGCGTTTGTGGGTGCAACGCCTCGGGAGAGGCCAGGGGACATCGTCCCGCGGGGGCTCCGGGGGCTCCAGGTCACCCCGTCCCGCGGGGCTCCGGGGGCTCCAGGTCACCCCGTCCCGCGGGGCTCCGGGGGCTCCAGGTCACCCCGTCCCGCGGGGCTCTGGGGGCTCCAGGTCACCCCGTCCCGCGGGGCTCCGGGTCCAGGTCACATCGCCCCCCGGGCCTCCCGAGGCTCCGTGGGGGGGGGTCCGTATCACACCGTCCCGCGGGGCTCCGGGGGGGTTTCCCGTCGCATCGCCCCCAGGGGCTCGGTGTCACACGGGGGTGCGGACGCGGGGGGCGCTGTGGTGGGGTTGGACGCGCCCACGAACGGTTGGGGGGGCGGTGGTGGAAGGAGCCTCTGTGCGCGGGGGTGTGTGCGGGGTGGGAGGGGGCGGACAGGAGTTGGACGAGTCCATGCCTCGCGGAGGGGGGAACCAGCTGTACCCCCGGCTGTGTTTGCGCCCAGCTGTGGTGGGCGGTAGAAGCATTCCCGGCCCCGCTCCCTGTGAGGCGAGGAGAAGGTCGGGGGGAATCCTGCGCCGCCCGGGAAGGAGGAGACGGCGGGCGCTGGCGCGGCCGTGCCACGGCCTGTCCCCCCCTGCGGCGGGGAGGGCGGTGGTGCGTGCGGCGCGGGGCGGGGCAAGGCGGGGCGGGGCGGGGCGCAACGGCCGCAGTGCCGCCGGCTCCCTCCTCCAGCCGCCGCATCGCCGTCGCCATGGCGCTGTGCGGCCGCTCTGCGCTCCTCCAGCC